TACTTTTCAGACTTACTTGTATTCTGTCATGTCTGAATTCTTTATGGTACTTGGCATCTCTTCTCCATTTTTTACCCAGTAGCTGTGAAGGAGGGGGCTGGGGCTAGTGGTGAGGTTGCACTGTAGTAGGATAGGAATTGCAGGGGAAGTAATGGTCACCTCGTTACTGGAATTGATCCGGGGCTCTAGAAGAAAGAGACATATTAAAAGAGCTGTCAGTTTTCACCCGACTCAAATGCCCTACATGGCACAATGAAAAGGCAGAGCAATTGGGAAGGAAACAAACTAGACATAGAAAACTAACTTTACTAGCTCAGATGGCATCAAGTCGTACAATGAACAGCTGACCAGCAGAGGGGGAAAAAAAAAACAAGGACTAGTCTACTGATACAAAAGGGCAAAAAGAAAGAAAGAAAGAAAGAAAGAAAGAAAGAAAGAAAGAAAGAAAGAAAGAATATATGTTGGTATTTTTTTGTTTTTAGCCTAACTAAGGGGAAATGAAAAATAAAATAGCACAAGAACATATAGCAAGCATGCAGTCTAATCCATTTTAAAAAAATAAAATCTTTGGGTGCTTTCACACATCGTTCTAGGTTGAAGGATCTTGCTGCAAGAGAAACACATCTAATAGAACATAAAATGCAATTTCTCTCCCCCCCCCAACTGGTGTTAGCAGGCCAGTCTTCTAAGAAGCTAGCAAAGAAAATCGTGCCATTACACCCTTCAGTGTCTCAATAATGGAAGACAATTTCAAATCACCAATTGCATAATGCAGATTTTAAACTATAATGAGATAGAAAACAAAGTTTATTTGGCTAGTACCCCAAAGTAGAGCTGGTACCATTTTGGAATCAGCAGCAACCATGATGTTTCGTAGCAAATCTACTCTTCCCATTTTCTATGGTACTGAGGACAACCTATGTAAGATGATGAGTAAGGAACACCCTCCCCCCTTCCCTTTCTCAGTTTGCCTTGCCCCACAGCGTTAACTTCTTAGAGCCCTGTTGTGTTCCTTGGGATCCCTTTTCTACCAACCCCTTTACCTAAAAAAAAAAAGAGAGAGAGAGAGAGAGAGAGAGAGAGAGGGAGAAAAAGTTGAAACCTTTCCCCCAATTAACGTAAGGATTTTCCTGTGATCAGATTACATAAAGTATTTGAAAGAGGAACTGCACAGAGTTAGCAAACCAAATTTACACGTTTCAGTCCTAGAGCAGCAAGGTCTTCTGCAAGGCTTGGGCAGAGGTGCCTGGCTTTTTACTTCGGATTATATGTACGGCCACTTGCCTTACTAGGTAGAAAGTGGTCACATTCCCAATGTATTGCTATCCCAACCCTTCAACTAAGGCAGGGTTCTCAACCTTTTTAATGCCGCGACCCCCAACCGGTCGTAAGTCAAGGACTACTCAACCGGTCATAAGTCAAGGACTGCTCAACTGGTGCAGCACCATTTGCAGAATGGGACTTTTGGCGGGCTCTGCAGGGCAGAGACAGCCTAGACAATTCCTATTGGCTTTTGAAAGCCAATAGAATTAGACTCTATTCAAGACAGTCTATTCTATTGGCTTTCAAAAGCCAATAGAATAAAAGGGAGTAGCAGAGCTAAGGAAAAGGGGGGGAAATGGCGGACTGTGTTGTTTGGCGACCCCCGTGAAATTGTCGTTCAACCCCAAATGGGGTCCTACCCACAGGTTGAGAACCACTGAACTAAGGAATGTGCCTTGTCTTGACCCAGTCCCACCCAAATCCCTCTGAAGCAAGAACATTTCACCGTGCAGGTCAAAATAAGGCTATGCACCTCTTTTATCCTTCCTTTATATTTACGCTGTGTTTTATACTTTAGACCTTTGGAATCCATCCAATCCAGCAGTATAATCTTTGTTCTGCAATTACATGTGTTCACGCACAGACTGCAGGATTAAACCAAGTACTGGTAGAGCAAAAATCCTTAAAACATCCTTAAAAAAAAAAAGACCCACTGCTAAGCATTTATTCCATGCCAGTGTCTCAGATGATGTAGTACAAAGCCATGCCACCCTATTTAAAAATAATTGCGTAAAGAAATAGTACAAGAATTTGAAAGACTTGTCATGATTTACTTCTGGCACAGAATGCGTTGCAAACACATTTGATTTTATGGGTGGTCCTGACACATATTATTTTCAGGAAGAGAAAAGAGTGGCAGGATAAACATGCTGGTTACTGTAATAGAGAACAGGAGAGATTTAGACACGTCTTGTTAGTAGCATATGACTGTACTAGCTATCTATATAACTAAATCCACAAAAGGGAAACCTGATTTTCAAGTTGCCCATGTGGAACACTTAATACTTAATGCATTTGCTCTCGCTGCAGCCTGAACACTAGGAAATCTCACGCTCAGTGGAAAACATTACTAGCTAGAGTTCCTCCCAAATTTATTTGGAAAGTTCCATTATTTTACCACTGATGAGTTAAAACATTTCTTCATAAACCCACCATACAGATTAAACAACATTAAATAAGTGCGCAAGAGGCACCTGATGAAAAGCAGCTACATGCAATATGAAATATGGCACTAATAATATTTTTCAAGAACACAAACAACTCCACCCAACATAGAAATTTATAAATCAGCCTTGTATTCTCTAATCTGATGCAAGAGCTATGCTGATTAGAAATTCTGAGGATTATAATCCAAATATATTTGAAGGGCATCAGTCTGGGTAAGACTGATATTATATTTTCCTACTGGTTGTTAAAATAAGAGTTAGAAACAAAGCAAAAGGAAGTAAATGGGAAAATACTACATAAGACTTTGGGAGCAGAGAGTATCTCCTAGAAATGGGTAATACAAGCAGTTGTAGTTTCAAGAATTCTGGGTTTCAAAAAATTATTCTTCTATATTATTAAAAAAATGCTTTCAGAATACTAATTTTTAGATTGCATGCTGTTTAATGCATTTTAGCAAAATGATAATATAAAACTGATACTAAGACAAGCATGCAACTACTACTGGAAAATCAAACTGACCATCCAGTATTTCTCTTAGTTATTAAAAATGTATCATAATGTTTGTATATAATGTACATGTCAGCATTACACATAACTGATTCTTGCTCTTTATAAAATAATCCTCTACTGTTAGCTGTTCTTACTGCCAATTTCTAACTAGAGACGTGTTAATTCATGAAAAAAAAAGTTTTGTATGCTTTCCCCATCAGTTGTAGTCATATACTACAGGAAGTTCTTTAAGTCTTCTATAATAGGAGCTTGTATGCTCTGCAAAGAAAGTAACATAGGCTTGCTTTCTATATCCTAATAAATGTATACTTTGTACTGTTCTGTTTACACAGAAAACATTTATGGTGCAGCACTATGATCAAAAATCCAGATTAAATTGCCAGATTTATTTTCATGGCATGGCCCAGGAGAAGGCTATAAGCCACAACAAATAAGAAAAAAAAAAAAACAATTTCCACCTGTTTTCTGAATATTTCACATTTACATGATTCCTTATATACTGTGTGGGCAATTTTTTCTCACACATCAGTCTCTGATACACTGTAACACTTTGATATACTGTAACACTCCATTTTGATACAGATACAGTACCAAAATACAATATATCCTACTCAATGTAACTATTTTTTTTATCTACATACCTATACAGAAGGTAAATTGCTACAAGAAAGTAATCTTTCTAAAAGCTTCTAAAAGTAATGCCTTACTTCTGAGATTATGCTTTTGATATGAATGCTGACATTACAGACCAGTGTTTATGATTGGTTTAACTTTAGCCAATCCATGAATCTGATGGAGCAACAGTTTACAAAAAGATATGATTTTAAACAAAACCTGCTTGCTGGAAAAGGTGCTGACAGACTCCCCCTGAACTTTTTAACCAATTAATAGTATTATAGTAAAAGAAAGCAGGGATTCATATCTCTGAGATGTCAAAAAAAAAAAAAAAAATCAAGGTTACTTCCATTATATTCTTGCCTGCTTTTTGAGATCAATGTAGAATTTCTCTTGTAAGCCTTGCCTTCAATGGAGATGGGCCTGGCACTCAAAAGAAAGAAAGAAAGAAAGAAAGAAAGAAAGAAAGAAAGAAAGAAAGAAAGAAAGAAAGAAAGAAAGAAAGAAAGATCCATTTCGGTATTAAACACCATGTTGTCAAATGTCCTACAAGCCTCATTCCCTAATAGGTTCTGCTGTTTTGTAGATCCTGGACTCTAAAAAAAAACTTTTAAAAATCTCAAAAAGGCAGATGCAGAGTCATCATATCTGCCTCAGAACTAGAAACTTCCAGATTTACCAGCATAAATGGTAAGACAGAAGGGTTTCTAACAGCAGCTCTAGGGGGGAACAATGAGGTTTGAAAATTATCTACATAATGGACACAAAATAAATCTGCAGGGCATTGACTATACCAATTGAATCTTCGACAGAAGGCAAAAAATAAAAAATAAAAAAATAAATTGGGACCCCTCTAGTCAAGCATTTGGGAAGTTTACAGTCCTCAATTAGAGGAAATAGTTTTCCTTCGTTTGTTGGCTTCCCAGGTTCCAATATTTAGGATAAATTTCCTATGAATCGGGAAGTAATCCATTTGCATTAGTAGATATTAATTGCCTAATCCCCCAAGAAGTTGTCCAATCTTTCCTAAAAGTGAAATTTACTGTATACCGAATATTCATTTTTATTTTAAGAATTTATATGCCACCTTTCAAAATAAAAATCCTATGACAGTACATATTAACTCTTTATTGCCGCTTGCTTCATAACGCAGTACAGTTCATTGGCCTGTTCTCTGTGCGATGGGGCCGTTAAGGACCCACCTCAGACATTTTAGAATGTAATCATGGTTTCTAAGGCATTTGATATAATCAATGGCTTAATAAAAAAAAGTTGGTTACAAGATCACCCATGCCGTTTAGCTTTGTACGTGAAGATACATAAGTGAGTGTTAAAGGAAGGGGATGAGAAAGAAAAGGCTTTTGACTGCCTCTTTTGTATTGTAGGTAACCAGTAGCTTCAGAGGCACCAAGGAAAGTACTATAAGCAGAGACTCAACATCTGGGAAGTTTCAGTATGTATTGTCTGTATAAAAAAACAACTTCTGACTAGCTTTAAAGGGAAAATCCAACATTTTTCAGATCATAAAAGATGCAGACAAGAGCCTATGGACTTAAAGCCACGACGAAAAGGAAGGCAACTCCATGATTTCCCAATAAATGAAATAAAAAAAAGAAAAGAAATGGTTAGGTTAAGAATTAACACAAAGTAGAAAAGGCACTCGTGGAGAAACTAGGAGAGCACAAAGCCTACTATAAAAAGTTGTTTTTTTTTCAAAAAGAAAAGAATGAAAGCAAAAGGAAACAAACATTCCAATACCATCTTGTTTTCAGAAGACCTAGAAGACAGTTTCACAGATTCTCCTCAATACTTCTGATCCTAGGAAGGAGGACACACATTAAGAAGGTGACAAAAACACAACTGACACGTCACAAATGAAGGAATCAACACACCTTCCCTCCCTCCCCTCCAACAAAGACAATCGGTGGGTGATACTAAGGGGTCACAAGAGAGAGGGTGAGGATCACTGGGAGTGCCTCTAGAGACTACAGCACTACTGCTCTGAGGAACTGAACTCACTCTGAAGGACGCTTATAGTAGCCTGGGCTCGTATCCACGTTATGGCAGGATTTTGCCTCAAGTCATTCCTTCTGGGATCGTTGCTCGCCCTGCACTCATATGTCCCAGAGTCTTCCAAGGTAAGACGAGTGATTCTCAGCACGCTCACGCCATTCACCCCGTAGGCCGTGTTAATGGTGACACGGCGCTTTCGAGCGCCATCCCACAGCTGTTTGAAAGATTCAGCCCGGTTGACTTCTGCGTACCACCACTGGATCTCTGGGGTGGGGTTCCCAACCACGTCACAATACAGTTCAAAGGCGTCCCCTGTGAGCTTAGTCTCTGACATAGGCGACTTGACAAACCCAGCTAGAAAGGAAAGGGGCAGCAAAAATGCCATGACGAATGAACAGGGGAAAAAAAACAACAACAGATCTTATAAAGAAAGCAAATGAAATTCCAGAAACACACAAAAAAAAAACCCAAAACAAAAAGAGAGACAAGCCCATCTACAACAGTGGTTATAGTGTGAGTTCAAAAGAAGAAAAGTGAGAGGGGGGAGACAAGCCATCAGATTTTACAGATTTATTTATAGTCTGCAACAGAAAGAGATCTATTTATTTTTCTCTTCGTTGCATCTAATAATAATAGCTCCAAGGGAGGAGGTAAAAACTGGGTTATCAGGAACTCCTTTTGTTTACACTTCAATAATTCTCCTTTATTATCTCCTTTGGATTTAACATTGGGATTAGAAAAAGCTCTCTATTATAACCAGTGCTTCACTAGGCTTGTGGTTTGATCTCCTCTTATTTCAAGCCCAGAGGGTGGTATGATAGTCAGATAAATTGTCCTAAACATCTTATAGCAACCAGCAGTTAAAGAATTCTTATGTTGCAATAGTCGCTGTATTACTGTAAACTTAGGCTGATTAAAAATAAATGGATCCACAAAGCTGCAAAAATTAGGCATACAATCATGCTACTGTTATAGTCACACACCAAATAATTATCCCGTGCCATGTAGATCTCTACTTCCCCCCTCCCAACCAATTCCTCAGAACTGAATCAGCATTTTCAGTTCCTTTAAATTAGTATCTTTTGAGCTCTGGAACCAAAATAGTGTAAGAGGGATATGTGGTTTTGCATAATGACTAAGAATTTGTTTGTTCTCAATCCCATGTCCAAGTACATGTGAGCTAGCTTTGTGCCCAAGGCAGGATGAGATTGGTTTCTAGCCTAATGCCTTAACCACTACATTTAACTGGCTCTCACTTCATCTAATTATCTAGATTACTAATTACCTAAAGTTATAAGATTACTTTTCTGTTAGTCAAACAATGCCTAACCTAGATTGCAAAATATTTCAAGATAACATAGAAGGTTACCTGCTTGTTTATATACTGAGTCACCTGGAGAGTTAGAGATAGCCATTTCCCTCATATTCCAATATGCATTCAACCATGAAGTAAGCCAACTAGTGTTGGAAGTCAATATGGTATAAATCAAGCCAAGGTAGAACTCAGTTTTTGCCTCCAATTTGACAAAGCACCTCAGTATGAGATCAGGAAGCATTCAAGTTTCAAATTTGGTGGCAAGAAAAGTATAAAAGATTTGCTGATTTAACTCTACACTGCTGATTATTTCTTAATAATGTAGCTGCTGCAAAGTTTCTGGTCTTCTAAATAGTGAAGAAGCTCTTAAAAAATTACAGTTAAAACTTTGGAACTACATTTTCAATCCTAATGTGGCAAAAACTCAATCAGTACAGCTAGCTATACATATATATGCATTGTGCTGTAACATTCTATAGCTGCCACATTTTTGCTTTCACAGTTCTGGAACCCCACCTAGGTATGAAACAGACTTCTGATAAAAACACAACTGAACAGAATGTCTGCAAACCTAGGTAAGTTTCTGACTATGGCTATAATCTTGACTAGTGCTATACCTATTTAATAATTTTGAATACCCTGGATATTTTGTACAATCAGCTTCAATTGGTTCCTTCACGATGGTGGCAAATAATTTCTACAAGCCGAAAGGCGTTCTGAAAAAAGCCTCTAACAACAATACAAATCCCAACATTATGCATCTTAAGGTAGTTTTGTCTGCAGGTTCTATGCAGCAAGTCATGGAATGGGCCATAATTATAATAAATTATTAATGGGCCCAAAAGGCATCACCTCACTAAAAGCTCTGCTGGATAATGATAATGTTGCAGAATCATAATACAGGCTTGTGCGTAGCTATACTCTCCTGCTGAGCTATTCTCCCTCTGTTCTGACAGTACTGCTAAAATATACATAGCCTTAATAAAACTACAAGCAGAATCCCTCCTTTGCTTTGTGCATCCTACACCAGTTAGCAAGAAGTGGAGTTGTTCAAAATGAGTTCTGCTTGAGTGATCTTTGTATTTTCAAGCTTTTGGGTTCCATCTAGGAGGCTAATCCTTTCATATGGTTTCACATGGAAGCCAAGAGCAATATATACATTTAGTGCTTATGAACAGGCACTAAATGTATATATTGAAATATAAGTCGTGTAATGAGTAGAATTTATATTTAACCACTGCTATCAAGACACTTTTGTGAAATGTGCATAATAAGTTGATGTTACTTAGCAAACTTCTTAATTTAAATGTATCTTTGCCCCAGACCACTTCAATTTTTATAGTAGCTACACTCAAGACAATAGATTTTAATTTTAATAGCAATCCTCTGTAGTACAATGACCAAAATGGAGATCTTTGTTCTTTTCAACATTAGCACTACCCACAGTAATATTTTCAAGGTCAAATAAATGCATGGAAAGAAAGGTTTTCAGTCTTGTCTCACTTTCATGATATAAGTAAATTACTATTCTGAAGATACCTGCTTATTATCATTAGCTTTTGCAGACTGTTTCATCCTATCAAAGCCAGTTATTGTCATATATTAGTAAAGAGTAAAAGTCTGAATATTTCTATTGTAAAGGATTTGAAACAATCCTTGTTTACACTGCCAAATGTAGGCAAACTAGATAAACCATCTTCTTGTATTGATCTGCCAGAAAGCTGGAATATATATCCAAAGTCTGTAAGTGATCTGTCACATAAAGTTGTTCAATGAATTTCTAGACCACAATTTTAAGATTTAACCACTTACTCTACAATTCTATTACTAATTTTGCCTTCATGCAGATTTGGCATGATAGCACACAATATAAACAGTCCAAACTGGTTCTTTGCAAGTACTGCAGGTTTACTCTTATTTGTAATTTCTTGGTTTCTAGTCAACTTGATTTAAAGCAGTTCATATTTTGATATCATTTTCCAAATTGCTACAATCACAGGAAAAAATGAAAGCCATACACAGCTCCCCCTTCAATTTCTTGTTTAAAATGAAGAATTCAGAAATCGACGTTCTATCATTTTCAGAACCGTCTTTCTGAAAATACTGGTCATGCTGGGAAGAAAGTAAAGGGAAAAAAACCCGTATAATTTTGGTATCAAAACAACAAATCAATTTTCTACTACAGCGTTCAATTGTGATATTGCTCCTAAGTGCTCATCTTTTGGTCTTTTACCTCAAAAATGCTTCCTGAATCTTCTTTCCTGTATTCATTTTATACTCTCTCTATTGACAATCATCACTCACTCGGATGCAAACTCATGTTTCTCACAGTTCTCTGGAGCAGAAAAGATTTTCCTATCAGAAGAACTCTCGTGTTGTGAAGGAGCACAAGGCATACAGATGTTCTATCTGATCGAACAGAATGCACCCATTATTCAAAAGAGCAGTGACACAGACTCCTTTAGGAATCCCGACAGTAACAAAGCATGCTATTGTCTTACAATGCAGACATCTCTAAACATTTTCATTGCCACGTTTCTTTGCTTTATACTTAAGCTATTCTTAGGCATTTTGGGGGGAAAAAAGCTTGGGAATGAACAGAAAGGCTGCAGAAAAGCTGTAACATACTCATTAAAATGGACCAATTTCCTCCTCATTAAACAACTGAAGATAGAAGGACTGACTGTCTGCCTGGAAAGGGACATAGGAGAATATATATATTTTCTCTTTTTAAACCTTTTGGTCCTCCATGAGCAGCACGGTTTCCTCCAAAAGGTTCAGCTGATAACTACTGTATATATTTTGTGTATTCTAGATTCTTGACCCTCTACTTCTGCTGTCCTTTCCTTGCTGCCACCCACCCATATTATTAAACCTCTTGCCAATTTAAATTAATTGTCTTCTTATTGCCCTAACTCATCTCTTAATACTGCCACAGATTTTTATCTATCTTTTATTGCCTTCCTTCCATCAGCTTCTAGGAACATGCTAAGCTAGATCAGCCATTTTAAGGTTAATAAGTCAGCCTTGTGGCAATGCAGAGATCTGGACCTAGCCTGCAGAGTTAACAGCCAATCTTGCACTTTTGGACCATGCTGGGACTTTGAGGGACTGCAGTTCTAACACATCTAGGACATACTGAGTTGGGAAACTGTTTTATGCATTGCCCTGTAGCAAATCTTAGCAAGTACATCCGATTTCCACATGCTTCCTGTATTTCAGTTCAAACATTGTGATCACCTCTACAGATAATTCAAGTAATGTTGTATTTTGATATTAAAGAGCTTACATACTGCATGTATAAATAGAGGGCAGTTTTCAATCAAATTTCAGACTATCACTAAAAGCAATATAGCAATACTGTTTCCTAATCCTATAGCAATAAATGCCATTGGGTTTTTGGTTATCAGGACTTATTGCCAATGATCCAAGAGCAGTTTCCCCAATAAAGCCAACTGATGTTAACAACAGTACTCGGCCCCTCTTCTTCATTCTTGCTTCTGTATTCCTCATCCCTTTCATCTTCTCCCAGCTAACAAGCAATGATGCAAACAATGAACTGGAGTACCTTAAAGGCAATTTACCCTTGCATCCATTTCCAATGCCTCTAGTCCCCAACCTCCTCCAACCTATTTTATCCGGGCCTGTTGTCACTACAATTCCCAGAATTCTTAGCTGTGCAGCCTGGAGATTTATTTATTTATTTATGAGACTTATATACCGCTTTAAGTGCAAGCACTCTCTAAGCGGTGTACACCAGTAAGCAATGTATATATATATATTTACATTGCCCCTAACAATCTGGGTCCTCATTTTACCTACCCCGGAAGGATGGAAGGCTGAGTCAACCTTGAGCCGGTGAGATTTGAACCGCTGACCTGGTGAACACAGTCAGCTAAAGTGGCCCGCAGTACTGCACTCTTAACTGCTGCGCCACCTCAGATTCTTGTGTCTGCACATCTGGAGGGCTTGGATTAGGGCAGGCTAATGTAGATAAATGCACACATCTGACCACATGGCCTGTAACCCACCCACCCACCCCCCAACCTGGCTACGCTTCAAGGGCATTACTTCTCCCCTGGTCCTTGCCCAAACCCTGAGCATCTTTGTCCATTTGACCCTTCTTTGCCTTTTGCTGCAACAGATCCACCCTGGGGGGGGGGAAGGGCAACCGGGATAACAAACTGGCCTTCCCTGGATAACCTCCCTGCAGCTTTTCCTGCCACTGCCTCCCTCCTGAGTTCTCTTTCCCTTTTCCAAACGTGGCTTGGGATGTCCTAGTGCAGTGTTTCCCAAGCTTGACCATTTTAAGGCATGAGGACTTCAACTCCCAGAATTCCACAGCCAGCAACGCTGGCTGTGGAATTCTGGGAGTTGAAGTCCACATGCCTTAAAATTGTCAAGTTTGGGAAACACTGTCCTAGTGGTCTCCCATCCAAGACCCAATCAGATGCGGCCTCGCTCAGCCCTGCCAGGGACGAGCCGAGCGGCAGAATTCCTTCGACCCTCCTGGCCCCGCCCCCTCCTGTCCCACCTGAGGCGCCCCGCCCTCCTCGGCCCCGCCCCCTGTCAATCGTCGCCTCAGATCGGCTCCTTGCCCCCTCCCGGCTTCCCCCGCCCGCCGAGGCCGCCTTCCCTCACCGTTCTGCGCGCCGACCGGCGTCGGCCAGAGGCTCCCCGCCGTGGCCAGGAGGAGCGAGAGGGCCGCGGGCAGGGAGGCCGGGCCCCGCAGCATCGTCCCGGTGAGTCCGCGAGCGGAGGAGGAGGAGGAGGAGGAAGGGCGGGCAGGGGGCGCGGGGGCGGCCGATGAGGGAGGAGAGGCGAGGGAAGGGGAGACGAGGAAGAGGAGGAGGAGGAAGGAGGATGAGGCGGGCGACAGAGGCTCGGGCGCCCTTCGGCGTCGCCTTCGCCTGCCTTCTCCCTCAGCGCGGCAAAGCGGCTCCTTCTGCGGCAGCGCCGGATGTCTCGCGAGAGCTCCGCTCTCACTTCTCGCGAGAGCCAGCCGATCGGAGGCGGCCGCCGAGAGCGCAGAGCGCAGAAAGGCGAGGGCGAGGAGGAGGAGGAGGCAGCAAGCACCGCCCACCCGGCTCTTGCGTGGCAACGTTACGGGGAGGGCGTGGCTGCCCCTCCTCCCCCCCCTCCCCGCTGTTCCGAGAAGGGACCGCCTCCCTGCGGGTTTCCCAGGCAGCGTAATGAGGCTTTCGGGGGTTGTGAGAATGCGAGGGAGACCGTGGGACTTGCGTGCAACCGTGGTGGCGTGGATAAGGCGCGAGAAGGCAGCCCTGGTGTGGTTTTGGGGCTCAGCCTGTGCTGTGAAGGGCGTGGTTTCTCCACCGTGATTTTTGCTGGTCTTGTGAATGCGGCCGATTGCGAGTTAACCCTCGGGAACCTCTGGACAGCGGAAGCCGACAGGTCTATTCACTCGGGCATCCTTGGAAGGATGCTGGCTCCAGTCTTTTTCTCAACCTTGGCCCTTTTAAGCCTCGTGGGCTTCTCTTTCTGATTGAAAAAAAATCCAAAAGAAATCTAAATGTGTGGTTTTGGGCTGGCAATTATGCCTCTTCCTGCCCTTGGAGTTCAGAAGCGGCTGTCATATTTCCAAATGTGAATTGCACTTAAAACTTACATCTGCAGCAAGATTATTATATGCTTAAAAATCTGAAAACCAGCATTTTAAGGACGGCTAAATTTCATCTCTCTTGATGAAAGAAAAGGCAGCATTTAAATGTATGGCTGATCGATAGACGTTTGCATAAAACAGGAAAAAAAACGTACTCGTGGCTTTGATGTTTAGAAAAAAAATAGGTAATAGAAAAAAGTGAGCTTTTTTTAACCATAGAGTAAGAGATAACTTGGTGATTATACTTGTGTTCGTGGAAAAAAGAAATTGGAATCCTTTTTCTAATTTTATTGCTTGTTTCTGCACCTGTCTTTTTTCTTTGTTTCTTTGTTTTGTATTATCTTTGCTTCATTTTTATACTTCCTTTATATCCTTTTAATACAATTGATATTTAAAAGCGAGAGTGAGAAAGAAATTGTACTTAAAAACCTGTCATCTCGTGTCAAGAACAAGCTAAAATCAACTTTAGGAGGGGGAGAAATACCTGTTCTTTGCCAGGCCTAGTTGGTTTGACTGGCATTTAGCCACTTGTGAATTGGCAAAGTAAATAAATGCAACTCAAAAGAAGAGACAGGTTTGCATAAATTCTGTGTATATTAATTAACAAGCGCAGGTGCTTGTTTAGAAATGATTCAGGTTTTCAATGCAGTCTCACCAGAAGTTGTGACTGGGTGATCATCATGAAATAATCTAAACAGTCCATTAAATCTTTGTTTGTTTTAAATATTTACACATTGCCCTTCAGAATGAATTCCAAAATAGTCAGCAACTATTAAAAACCCAACATCCAATTAAAAATGCATTACTGACAAGCGGGAGGTTAAAAAAATGGAATAAACAGTATTTAAAATGGCAAAGTGAATGTTGCAACTCCCAGTGCTTATTAAGATGGATTGGCTCATTAGAAGTTTGTTAAAAGCTAATAAAAAACTCAAATACAATGAAATTGGAGGGGTGGGGAGAAGGAGGTTAAATGAGAGGAATTGGAGTGTTACTGGAATCATCAACTTGGTCCAGTTCGATCAAACCATAAGCCACATAAATTTAATTGCTTGACTAGAGAAGTAGCAATAACTACTTTTAGCAGAGTCTGAAAACCCTTGATGAACTTTTTGCTGGATAAAAATGAATGGGTGATCTCTGGATTTACTGGTTATAAAGGACTGTGTATGAGAAGGGAACCATAATATATTATTTGGGAGGGCAGAAATGGTAATATATTTGTAACCACTGCAAAGAAAATAAGAAAACACTGTTTTTCTCTCCTTTCTTCTGGACCTTGACAGTGCTGTTGTTCACTTCTCCCTCTGTTTTTCTTCTCTATCGCTCTTTTTATGTCCAAGCCATGTTGAAGGAGGAAGAGGCATTTGTTAAGTAAATTGCACCTGTTTCTGTAACCCCCTTTTTTTTGCCACGGGTTGTTAAGCAACTCTCCACGATCATTAAATGAATCAAGCAGTCGTTAAAGTGAATCTGATTTCTCCCATGGACTTTGCTTGCCTGAAGCCGGAAATGGTGATCACATAATCCAGGATGCTGCAACGGTTGTAAATACACATCAGTTGCCAAGCGCCCTGAATTTTGATCCTGTTAACATGGGGACGTTGCAACAGTCTTAAGTGCAAGGACTGACAGTTGTATGCCATTTTTTTCCGGGCTGGACCATTTTGAACGCTTGTGCCCCGTCGCAGCAAACAATATATCAGCTTGCAAGGTCTTCTCTAGATCAGCGCGGCTTCCCAGCCTTTGCCTTTCCAAGCTGGGTGGATTTCAGCTCCCAGAATCCTTAGCCACGCCCATGCTGCTTGGGGAATTCTGGGATTTGAAGTCCGCATCTCTTAAAGCAGCCGAGGTTGAGAAATGCAGATCTAAAGGGCCACCCGATGATGGATTCAGCAGCTCGCAGGAGTCCACTAAATCAGGGGTCCCCAACCTTAGCCACTTTAAGACCTGTGGACTTCAACTCCCAGAATTCTGAGAGTTGAAGTCCACAGGTCTTAAAGTGGCTAAGGTTGGGGACCCCTGCATTAAATGAATGGTTGTAAGGTTGTCACACAAAAGGTTGTAACACAAAAAGCTCCGTGTTAAATGACTATGGAGATTCCCAGTCACCCAGGTCATAGTTATCCCAAAGGTACTTTTTCACGAGGCAACTGGACTTTCTTGTTTTCCTCTGAAGACGTTTTGCTTCTCCTCCAAGAGGCTTCTTCCATTCCCCGCCATCCCGTCAGAGCTGAAGGAGCTTCTGGGATGAGAAGTGAAACGTCTCCAAAGAACAAGTCCAGTTGTCTCGTGAAAAAGCACCTTTGGGACTCCGCGTTAAATCAAAGGCCAGCCCTACCCACAGACACTCTGGAATCCGCCGTATCATGTTGATTATTTATCCGCCAGCTTCCTTAGTGTCCTCAGAATGCTTTTCTTTGCTCAAAAGTCCACCAGCCAATGACTCAGACTAGGTTTTCCACAGGAAATGCAGTTTCTCTCCAGTGCTGCTAAATTTAGTTTATAGTTCAGTCCCAGACAGGCAATAATACCCAGTAGGCACCCTACGGTCAAGTGGTTGGCACAAATGAGTTATTGGATTGGTGCCAGAGTTGTTTCAAACTTTTCCATTCCTGCTGTCTCTTCCTTCCTCCCTTTTTCCATTCCTTTCTTTGTCTGCTAAGCCACCAGGATACGGCGAAGATGAAAGGTGTCTAACCACAGACGCACATATATGCCCACCATGCCATTTCCTCCAATGTAAACCATGTTGTGCAGTCCCGGTTGCTAAGAAGCAGCGAACAATATGTCAAGGTCATCTCTAGATTAGGGGTCCTCAACCTTGGCCACTTTAAGACTTGTGGACTTCAACTCCCAGAATTCCTCAGCCAGCAAAGCTGGCTGAGGAATTCTGGGAGTTGAAGTCCACAAGTCTTAAAGTGGCCAAGGTTGAAGACCCCTGATCTAGATGAGCCCCGCTTCCCAGCCTTGCCTCTCCAAGCTGGGTGGACTTCAGCTCCCAGAATCCTTAGCCATGCCAATTGCTGCCTGAGGAATCCTGGGAGTTGAAGTCCAGCTCGCGCGAGTCCAGCCCTGCCCGCTTTAACACGGCAAAACCCGAAGCTAAAAGCCAGCGGCTTCAGTGCAACGTGTGGATGGGGATCCAGGTCGCGGGAAGTCGGGTTCTGTCTGCAAGAGCCTCTTCATTTCCCGGGGGGAAGCCCTGAAAAGCGTTGGCTTCCACGGCAGGGGCTCCCGTTTGGCCGTCCGAGGGGAGGCGAGCTGTCCAAGCTGAAAACCAGCAGCCTTGCGTGGCCAGGAGTCGCTTCGTCCAACCTGGTCGAGCCTTTTCAATCAGAAAAGAGCTGGAAGGGACCTTGGAGGTCTTCTAGTCCAGCCCCCCCCCTGCTCGGGCAGGAGACCTGATCCATTTCAGACCAGTGGCTGTCCAATCTCTTCTTAAAAACCTCCAGCGTTGGAGCACCCCCAAGATCTGGAGGCAAGGCGTTCCACTGGCTCATTGTTCTCACTGTTAGGAGGTTGCTCCTTAACTCCAGGTTGCTTCTCTCCTGGATTTAGTTTTCCGCCCGTTGCTTCTTGTTTGACCTTCTGGGGCTTTGGAAAAATAGGTTGACCCCCCCCCCTTTTTTTTGAGGCAGCCCCTCAGATACTGGAACACGGCTGTCAGGTCATCATCCCTAGTCCTCCTCCTTTTCTCTTTCCCCACGAGCTCCTCTCCACCCTTCCCCTCCCCTTTCCCCTCCTCCCTCTCGCCCCCCCTCCCCGTTCCCGTCCCAGATCCTCACTCTCCCCACCCCGGAAGCCAGGGGGCTGGGATTGCCTCCCTTTCGGTTCGGCTCGGCTCCCACCCTGGAGGGCGCAGGGAGGCTCCCGGCGGGGTCTGGACAAGCTGGGATCTGCACGCCCGGAGGGTACGCAGAGAGGCTGGTGGAGACCCGCCCTTGTCTGCCGGCGCTGGAAAGGAAGGGCGGCGGGAGGAGGAGGAGGAGGAGAAGAGGAAGGAGGGAGGAGGAGGAGGAGGACGAGTAAGGCGAGCCGACTCCGGCCAGGCTGCAGGCGAGGCTCCCTAGACTGGCCGGCGCAACTTAGACGGACTTTGGCTTGCGGGGTAGGGTGAGT